AGTTGCAGCATGAGTCTGGCGGGCGATCTGGCCATTTGAAGATTAATCCCGGTTCGCTCTGGGATTACTTTAAATGGACCCATGTATCCAATGACCCAATTTTGAGAGAGGCCATGTAATATGGCGGGGGGTATGAACGATGATCAGCAGATATCGAAATAGTCGCGGCCATACTGTCCAACCAGGCAGAAGCCGCTAGAAGTGATAATATAACTTTTCTTTGTGCTTAAAATTAAATAGCAGCCGGGGTCACAACACAAATGGCCCCGGAATATTTATTAATGTCTGCGCGACTTCGCCATACCTACCAGCCCGACTTGGCTGCCCAGCAACCGGTGTCTGTTCGACCCGACCCACGACCAGCCAGAAAAGCCTTTCGCAGTCAACGCCGACGACATCAAGCATTTCCCGGTGAGTCCTTTCCGGTGTACCGCGTCCTCCTCATCTCGGAAACTTCCAGCGGTCGCATCGCGGCGCTGAGAAGTATCGCTATTTTGTCGGGCAGCTGAACCTCCGACGGCCCTTGCATAACTCACCGGAGAGCGCCAGTTTTCCTTCATGGAGACCTGTATCGCTGCTGGCCCTCGGCGGGAAGTCCTCAGCCCGGGCTGTCATCGCCTCCAGGCCCGGCCCAATAGTGGCTGAAATTTTGGAAAAATTAAATACACGTGTACCTTGATTATATATATATTGATATTTACTTCCCTGTTTGTGAATTTATCCGGAGTTAGACCCGAGAGCCTTATTTGTCCTCGTTGTTTGCCTAAAATTAAAAAGGTCGCGAGCATTAGTTAAATGGTGTAGCTTACAGTGCAGTTACGTACCTTTTTGGCCTGTCCCTTCTTTTCCCCTGGAGCTCCTCAGGATTCGACCATACACACGCGCATTGCGTATGTTCCTTTGAGGGCCGCGTTTCCATGCGAGCTCTACCAATACATGACTGGTAGAGCATAGTTTCCGCGGCGCCTGTACCCTTTTCCAGCAAAACAAATCCTCTGCTTTGACCGCGTAAATATTTGAGACGGCGGCCAGGTTTTGGTCTTAAAGGCTGAGAAAGGATAGATCTGTTAAAAGGAACATGTATATAAACCAGTGGTCGGCACACACATACCATCACAAGTTTGCCTTGCATTAGTGTGAGTGTAACAAACACGAAGTATGCGCGCGGCGTGCTGAAGCGAGACGTTTCTCTGCTTTGCACTGAGATCCTCTGCCGCAGCAACAAAAAAGCGCGCCGAAGTTGAGAAAAAAATGACCCGAAGACCCATGCCGAAGTCACACGAACATATACGTTATACGTGAGCGAGCAGAGGATGGGCAGAACACTTCCCTATGCTCACTAGATAGGCCGCTGCCGACCACTGATATAAACGATTGTACTTACGATATTTATTAAACCTTTGTAAAACCCACAATGTGTGAATAAGCTTTCCCAGTAGATGGAACCGCCGTTGTCGCGAGGAGGGGGCTCCTGCCGACAGGGAATGGGTGGTGCCCTGCAGCACCTCGAGGGCATCCATGGTTGGGTGGGAGCGATTGGCTAGGTCATCAATAGCCACCAAATTAAACCGATTTTCCCGTCAATATTTGCAGGTATTTACCTTTGCTTACGTTTTTATTCTTAGTGATAGTTTGTTAATATGAGACAGTGGGAGTTATCGATATCTATATTGCGAGCTGTGGCATTAGGGGTACTCTGCCCTGAGAAAAGACTGAGCTAGCGGCACTGCCACCAAAAAAAGCAGTTCGTAACATATTGGCGCCCAAGTTAAACAAAATAAATTGTCGAGGCGACGACGTCTCGCCCATTTATGACCCTGACGCCCCCGCCATCACGACCTATGGCTTGCAACATAGATTGACTAGAACGGGATGCGGGTCGGCGAACATTGCCGACGATTTGCTCCTGGTCACAGGTTTACCAGTAAACCGGTGATGGCATCTTGGAGCAAACCAAGATTTGCATCACGGGAAAATCTGTGATAATTTCTGTGATAGAGTAGTTTTAAAGCTTGTATTTTGTTATTTATTTATTTGAAATGTTTTTTGTTAGGATGTTGGGTTCCTGGGTTTTTCTCCCCGTCCTGGATTTCTAATTTTATGTCGGTTGTAAACTTAATTGCGTAATCGTGACCCGTAGCAACCCTACGCGCTGCACGGTTGCCTCGACTTAAAACAGAAAAAGAGGGCGGGAAAGAAAAGCCAACAGGAGCCAATCAGGCCGATGTCCTTAACTGGCGGCTATCAGCACGGGTGATAGCTAGTCCAGTTGACGAACGGCTAGGCAGTGACGGGAAAACAGGAGCCAGGAGAAAGCGCGAGTCGAGTTAGGTCGGAAGCCCACAGGCGAGGGTCAGTTCCATCTCCCCAAGTCCAGAGTAGTAGGAAGAAAAAAATAATACAAAAAATAGGAGATTTTGAAAGGAGTTGGAAAGTGAGGAAGATTTGTTTATTGTTATTTATTTTTGCCTGTCTGCCTGTCTGCCTGTCTGCCTGTCTGCCTGTCTGTCTGTCTGCCTGTCTGCCTGTCTGCCTGTCTGCCTGTCTGCCTGTCTGCCTGTCTGCCTGTCTGCCTGTCTGCCTGTCTGCCTGTCTGCCTGTCTGCCTGTCTGCCTGTCTGCCTGTCTGCCTGTCTGCCTGTCTGCCTGTCTGTCTGTCTGTCTGCCTGTCTGTCTGTCTGTCCTGTCTGTCTGTCTGTCTGTCTGTCTGTCTGTCTGTCTGTCTGTCTGTCTGTCTGTCTGTCTGTCTGTCTGTCTGTCTGTCTGTCTGTCTGTCCTGTCTGTCTGTCTGTCTGTCTGTCTGTCTGTCTGTCTGTCTGTCTGTCTGTCTGTCTGTCTGTCTGTCTGTCTGTCTGTCTGTCTGTCTGTCTGTCTGTCTGTCTGTCTGTCTGTCTGTCTGTCTGTCTGTCTGTCTGTCTGTCTGTCTGTCTGTCTGTCTGTCTGTCTGTCTGTCTGTCTGTCTGTCTGTCTGTCTGTCTGTCTGTCTGTCTGTCTGTCTGTCTGTCTGTCTGTCTGTCTGTTTTTCTGTCTGTCTGTCTGTCTGTTTCTGTCTGTCTGTCTGTCTGTCTTTGTCTGTCTGTCTGTCTGTCTGCCTGTCTGCCTGTCTGCCTGTCTGCCTGTCTGCCGGTATCAATAGTTTTTTTTTATTAATTACGTTAGCAGTGGAGTCCACTGTTTTAGTCTCAATTAAACCCATTTTGGGTATTATTTCTGTAATGTATTCAAACTCTGTTTTAGATATTGCGTTACTTTTCATTTTAAAAAAATGTTCATTCATATTAAGTTTTTCCTTTATTTTCATATATTTATTTTTTGTTTTGTCATGTATACTCGAAATCTGTATTTTCGAAAGGCCCTTTACAATCAGCAGGGCACTTTGGTTTTCTTGATTCTCTCATGTCTTTTTATACCCGTTACTCATAGAGTAAAAGGGTATACTAGATTCGTCGGAATGTATGTAACAGGCAGAAGGAAGCGTTTCCGACCCCATAAAGCATATATATTCATGATCAGGATCACAGCCGAGTCCGTCTGTCTGTCCGTCCGGATGAACGCTGAGATCTCGGAAACTATATGAGCTAGGCTATTGGGATTTGGTATGCAGATTCCTCAGCTTCTAACGAAGCGCAAGCTTATTTCAGCAGCGTGCCACGCCCACTTTAACGCCCACAAGCCGCCCAAAACTCTGGCTCCTAAAGTTTTAATGCTAGAGTACAAATTGAACTGAAATAAATTGTTCTCATCAATACCTATCGATTGACCCAAAAAAAAATTGACATGCCCACTTTAACGCCCGCAAACTTCAAAAAATCGTAGATATGAACGCGGATATCTCGGAAAATGTCAAAGATAGAGAATTGGGACTTTAGATCTAGATTCCGTAACCTTAAGCGCAGCGCAAGTTTGTTACGCCAATATGCCACACCCACTCTAACGCCCACAAATCTCCCAAGCCTGTGGCGCCCATAATTTTAATGCTAGATAAAAAATTTTAACTGAAATGTATTAGTCTCGTCCATACCTATCCATACCTATTGACCCAAAAAAAAGTTTGCCACGCCCACTCTAACGCCCATAACGCTTAAATCTGTCTACCGCCCTAATAACCATATATTGAGATCAGGGGTATATGGCGCATTTCAGTCTCGCTTTGCTTTTTTTTTTAATTTTCTGAGAATACATATATATACAAAATTGTAAATGTATCCCTACCTATGTATAAAAAAATTATGTTGCAATTGGAGTCGAATGGGAGCGACTTTATCCATAGGTTAAGTCGATAGGGCGATAGTTGCAGCATGAGTCTGGCGGGCGATCTGGCCATTTGAAGATTAATCCCGGTTCGCTCTGGGATTACTTTAAATGGACCCATGTATCCAATGACCCAATTTTGAGAGAGGCCATGTAATATGGCGGGGGGTATGAACGATGATCAGCAGATATCGAAATAGTCGCGGCCATACTGTCCAACCAGGCAGAAGCCGCTAGAAGTGATAATATAACTTTTCTTTGTGCTTAAAATTAAATAGCAGCCGGGGTCACAACACAAATGGCCCCGGAATATTTATTAATGTCTGCGCGACTTCGCCATACCTACCAGCCCGACTTGGCTGCCCAGCAACCGGTGTCTGTTCGACCCGACCCACGACCAGCCAGAAAAGCCTTTCGCAGTCAACGCCGACGACATCAAGCATTTCCCGGTGAGTCCTTTCCGGTGTACCGCGTCCTCCTCATCTCGGAAACTTCCAGCGGTCGCATCGCGGCGCTGAGAAGTATCGCTATTTTGTCGGGCAGCTGAACCTCCGACGGCCCTTGCATAACTCACCGGAGAGCGCCAGTTTTCCTTCATGGAGACCTGTATCGCTGCTGGCCCTCGGCGGGAAGTCCTCAGCCCGGGCTGTCATCGCCTCCAGGCCCGGCCCAATAGTGGCTGAAATTTTGGAAAAATTAAATACACGTGTACCTTGATTATATATATATTGATATTTACTTCCCTGTTTGTGAATTTATCCGGAGTTAGACCCGAGAGCCTTATTTGTCCTCGTTGTTTGCCTAAAATTAAAAAGGTCGCGAGCATTAGTTAAATGGTGTAGCTTACAGTGCAGTTACGTACCTTTTTGGCCTGTCCCTTCTTTTCCCCTGGAGCTCCTCAGGATTCGACCATACACACGCGCATTGCGTATGTTCCTTTGAGGGCCGCGTTTCCATGCGAGCTCTACCAATACATGACTGGTAGAGCATAGTTTCCGCGGCGCCTGTACCCTTTTCCAGCAAAACAAATCCTCTGCTTTGACCGCGTAAATATTTGAGACGGCGGCCAGGTTTTGGTCTTAAAGGCTGAGAAAGGATAGATCTGTTAAAAGGAACATGTATATAAACCAGTGGTCGGCACACACATACCATCACAAGTTTGCCTTGCATTAGTGTGAGTGTAACAAACACGAAGTATGCGCGCGGCGTGCTGAAGCGAGACGTTTCTCTGCTTTGCACTGAGATCCTCTGCCGCAGCAACAAAAAAGCGCGCCGAAGTTGAGAAAAAAATGACCCGAAGACCCATGCCGAAGTCACACGAACATATACGTTATACGTGAGCGAGCAGAGGATGGGCAGAACACTTCCCTATGCTCACTAGATAGGCCGCTGCCGACCACTGATATAAACGATTGTACTTACGATATTTATTAAACCTTTGTAAAACCCACAATGTGTGAATAAGCTTTCCCAGTAGATGGAACCGCCGTTGTCGCGAGGAGGGGGCTCCTGCCGACAGGGAATGGGTGGTGCCCTGCAGCACCTCGAGGGCATCCATGGTTGGGTGGGAGCGATTGGCTAGGTCATCAATAGCCACCAAATTAAACCGATTTTCCCGTCAATATTTGCAGGTATTTACCTTTGCTTACGTTTTTATTCTTAGTGATAGTTTGTTAATATGAGACAGTGGGAGTTATCGATATCTATATTGCGAGCTGTGGCATTAGGGGTACTCTGCCCTGAGAAAAGACTGAGCTAGCGGCACTGCCACCAAAAAAAGCAGTTCGTAACATATTGGCGCCCAAGTTAAACAAAATAAATTGTCGAGGCGACGACGTCTCGCCCATTTATGACCCTGACGCCCCCGCCATCACGACCTATGGCTTGCAACATAGATTGACTAGAACGGGATGCGGGTCGGCGAACATTGCCGACGATTTGCTCCTGGTCACAGGTTTACCAGTAAACCGGTGATGGCATCTTGGAGCAAACCAAGATTTGCATCACGGGAAAATCTGTGATAATTTCTGTGATAGAGTAGTTTTAAAGCTTGTATTTTGTTATTTATTTATTTGAAATGTTTTTTGTTAGGATGTTGGGTTCCTGGGTTTTTCTCCCCGTCCTGGATTTCTAATTTTATGTCGGTTGTAAACTTAATTGCGTAATCGTGACCCGTAGCAACCCTACGCGCTGCACGGTTGCCTCGACTTAAAACAGAAAAAGAGGGCGGGAAAGAAAAGCCAACAGGAGCCAATCAGGCCGATGTCCTTAACTGGCGGCTATCAGCACGGGTGATAGCTAGTCCAGTTGACGAACGGCTAGGCAGTGACGGGAAAACAGGAGCCAGGAGAAAGCGCGAGTCGAGTTAGGTCGGAAGCCCACAGGCGAGGGTCAGTTCCATCTCCCCAAGTCCAGAGTAGTAGGAAGAAAAAAATAATACAAAAAATAGGAGATTTTGAAAGGAGTTGGAAAGTGAGGAAGATTTGTTTATTGTTATTTATTTTTGCCTGTCTGCCTGTCTGCCTGTCTGCCTGTCTGTCTGTCTGCCTGTCTGCCTGTCTGCCTGTCTGCCTGTCTGCCTGTCTGCCTGTCTGCCTGTCTGCCTGTCTGCCTGTCTGCCTGTCTGTCTGTCTGTCTGTCTGCCTGTCTGCCTGTCTGCCTGTCTGCCTGTCTGCCTGTCTGCCTGTCTGCCTGTCTGCCTGTCTGCCTGTCTGTCTGTCTGCCTGTCTGTCTGTCTGCCTGTCTGTCTGTCTGTCTGTCTGTCTGTCCTGTCTGTCTGTCCTGTCTTGTCTGTCTGTCTTTGTCTGTCTGTCTGTCTGTCCTGTCTGTCTGTCTGTCTGGTCTGTCTGTCTGTCTGTCCTGTCTGGTCTGTCTGTCTGTCTGGTCTGTCCTGTCTGTCTGTCTGTCTGTCTGTCCTGTCTGTCTGTCCTGTCCTGTCCTGTCTGTCTGGTCTGTCCTGTCTGTCCTGTCTGTCCCTGTCTGGTCTCTGTCTGTCTGTCCTGTCTGTCTGTCTGTCTGTCTGTCTGTCTGGTCTTGTCTGTCTGTCTGTCTGTCCTGTCTGTCTGTCTGGTCCTGGTCTGTCTGTCTGTCTGTCTGTCTGTCTGTCTGGTCTGTCTGTCTTTGTCTGTCTGTCTGTCTGTCTGGTCCTGTCCTGTCTGTCTGTCTGTCTGGTCTGTCTGTCCTGGTCTGTCTGTCTGTCTGTCTGTCTGGTCCTGTCCTGTCTGTCTGTCTGTCTGTCTGTCTGGTCTGTCCTGTCCTGTCTGTCTGTCTGTCCTGTCTGGTCTGTCTGTCCTCTGTCTGTCTGTCCTGTCTGTCTGTCTGGTCTGTCTGTCCTGGTCTGTCCTGGTCTGTCTGTCTGTCTGTCTGTCTGTCTGTCCTGGTCTGTCTGTCTGTCTGTCTGGTCTGTCTGTCTGTTCTGTCTGTCTGTCTGCCTGTCTGCCTGTCTGCCTGTCTGCCTGTGCTGCCGGTATCATAGTTTTTTTTTTATTAATTACGTTAGCAGTGGAGTCCACTGTTTTAGTCTCAATTAAACCCATTTTGGGTATTATTTCTGTAATGTATTCAAACTCTGTTTTAGATATTGCGTTACTTTTCATTTTAAAAAAATGTTCATTCATATTAAGTTTTTCCTTTATTTTCATATATTTATTTTTTGTTTTGTCATGTATACTCGAAATCTGTATTTTCGAAAGGCCCTTTACAATCAGCAGGGCACTTTGGTTTTCTTGATTCTCTCATGTCTTTTTATACCCGTTACTCATAGAGTAAAAGGGTATACTAGATTCGTCGGAATGTATGTAACAGGCAGAAGGAAGCGTTTCCGACCCCATAAAGCATATATATTCATGATCAGGATCACAGCCGAGTCCGTCTGTCTGTCCGTCCGGATGAACGCTGAGATCTCGGAAACTATATGAGCTAGGCTATTGGGATTTGGTATGCAGATTCCTCAGCTTCTAACGAAGCGCAAGCTTATTTCAGCAGCGTGCCACGCCCACTTTAACGCCCACAAGCCGCCCAAAACTCTGGCTCCTAAAGTTTTAATGCTAGAGTACAAATTGAACTGAAATAAATTGTTCTCATCAATACCTATCGATTGACCCAAAAAAAAATTGACATGCCCACTTTAACGCCCGCAAACTTCAAAAAATCGTAGATATGAACGCGGATATCTCGGAAAATGTCAAGATAGAGAATTGGGACTTTAGATCTAGATTCCGTAACCTCAAGCGCAGCGCAAGTTGTTACGCCAATATGCCACACCCACTCTAACGCCCACAAATCTCCCAAGCCTGTGGCGCCCATAATTTTAATGCTAGATAAAAAATTTTAACTGAAATGTATTAGTCTCGTCCATACCTATCCATACCTATTGACCCAAAAAAAAGTTTGCCACGCCCACTCTAACGCCCATAACGCTTAAATCTGTCTACCGCCCTAATAACCATATATTGAGATCAGGGGTATATGGCGCATTTCAGTCTCGCTTTGCTTTTTTTTTTAATTTCTGAGAATACATATATATACAAAATTGTAAATGTATCCCTACCTATGTATAAAAAAATTATGTTGCAATTGGAGTCGAATGGGAGCGACTTTATCCATAGGTTAAGTCGATAGGGCGATAGTTGCAGCATGAGTCTGGCGGGCGATCTGGCCATTTGAAGATTAATCCCGGTTCGCTCTGGGATTACTTTAAATGGACCCATGTATCCAATGACCCAATTTTGAGAGAGGCCATGTAATATGGCGGGGGGTATGAACGATGATCAGCAGATATCGAAATAGTCGCGGCCATACTGTCCAACCAGGCAGAAGCCGCTAGAAGTGATAATATAACTTTTCTTTGTGCTTAAAATTAAATAGCAGCCGGGGTCACAACACAAATGGCCCGGAATATTTATTAATGTCTGCGCGACTTCGCCATACCTACCAGCCCGACTTGGCTGCCCAGCAACCGGTGTCTGTTCGACCCGACCCACGACCAGCCAGAAAAGCCTTTCGCAGTCAACGCCGACGACATCAAGCATTTCCCGGTGAGTCCTTTCCGGTGTACCGGCGTCCTCCTCATCTCGGAAACTTCCAGCGGTCGCATCGCGGCGCTGAGAAGTATCGCTATTTTGTCGGGCAGCTGAACCTCCGACGGCCCTTGCATAACTCACCGGGAGAGCGCCAGTTTTCCTTCATGGAGACCTGTATCGCTGCTGGCCCTCGGCGGGAAGTCCTCAGCCCGGGCTGTCATCGCCTCCAGGCCCGGCCCAATAGTGGCTGAAATTTTGGAAAAATTAAATACACGTGTACCTTGATTATATATATATTGATATTTACTTCCCTGTTTGAAT